TTTTCTGTGTTTTTTGCAGGTGGCCTTCATGCTATTGCTGAGCTGTTGCAGCTGGACTACAATATCAATCCGAATACCCATGATCAGTATAGTGTTACATTACGTCGTTATGCTGGAATGGCACTGACAAACTTGACATTTGGGGATGGTGCCAACAAGGCTCTTCTGTGTTCCCTTAAAGGATGCATGCATGCTTTAGTCGCTCAGCTGAAATCTGAGAGTGAGGACTTGCGTCAGGTTGTAGCGAGTGTTGTGAGAAATCTCTCATGGCGAGCGGATCTACAGAGTAAGAAAGTCTTGCGTGAAGTTTCATCTGTGACTGCGTTAATGGAGTCAGCGCTACAGGTGAAAAAGGAGTCTACGTTGAAATCAATTTTAAGTGCATTATGGAACCTTTCTGCACACTGTACAGAAAACAAAGCTGACATCTGTGCAGTGGAAGGTGCTCTTGCTTTTCTTGTTGAAACTTTGCAATATAAAAGTGCTTCAAGAACTTTGACTGTAATAGAAAATGCTGGTGGAATTCTGCGAAATGTTTCCAGTCACATCGCCACTCGAGAGGAATATCGTCAAACTTTACGTGATCACAACTGCCTTCAGATTTTACTCAGCCATTTGGCGTCACCCAGTTTAACAATAGTTAGCAATGCTTGTGGAACCCTTTGGAATTTGTCTGCACGGAACCAAAAAGACCAAGAATTACTTTGGGATTTGAATGCTGTTAGCATGCTGCGCAATTTGGTGAATTCGAAACACAAAATGATTGCCATGGGTAGCTCAGCAGCTTTGAGGAATTTGCTCGCTGCTCGACCGGAATTTGTAAAAAGTAAGGATTTCCCAACAAAAGATGGAATGCCATCATTGCATGTCAGAAAACAGCGTGCACTGGAGGCAGATATTGAGAAGAATCTTGCTGACAATAACCCTGAGCTTGAAAGTCCAAAGACGCATCCAAGAGACAATAAAAGTGAAACAGATGTAAAGGATTCTACAAGAATACTGCCAAGAAGATTATCTTTAAGACCCAAAATGTTTAGTCCTGGGACAGAACTATCACGCACGCAAGACAACAGACACCGCTCACGATCACCACGTGGACACTCACCGAATAGAGTACGACCTCATATCATGGATAACAGATTAGCAAGTGAAAGATCACGGTCGTCAAGCATCGAGAATCAGGAATTGGATAATGATAACAGAAATATTCTTGATAACAAAAAAGAACCAGAGGATAACAAAAAGGTGGACTCACTTGAAAAAAGAGGCGGTAGACAGAAAGCAAACAAGGCTAGCACAAGAAGCAGGATAGCCAAGGTGAGAATGTGCTTATTAGACAAGTAGTTTGTTTTGTGGTTTGTTTGTCAGATGTTTGACTATGTACTGTGGTGTTCTTGTCAGTTAAGAATGTCATATGGTGTGTGCCAAATGTGGAGCAGGATTTACTTGTTTCGAAACACTTGACATCATTTCAAGTATACCACAATATCTCTATATCATTACTGTTTTGTCTATGGTGGTGTGGCATACATGTGTATGATTTTCAACTATCAGCTAACTACTAGCCCAATTGCTTTGATTTATGTGCCTTCGATGAATGTCATTCAGATTTATTCATTTTGTATCAACATCATAATTCTCTATTCTAAGTGAATATTTTTGACAATTTGGTAGAAATATGATTTTCAACATTGAAAACTACCAGCCTTTAGCTTTGTTATTCGATATGTAGCCACCTTTATCAAATTTGTAACCCACTGATACCATTGCAATCACCAAGGCAACAACCTATAAGGTGTCGTAGTTATGTCTAGAACACTAACCATGGTAACCATGTAAACTTCTATGTTTAACATAAGCAATGTGATCACCTTAAACATTTACAATACGATTTTCATTTTCTTTTTCCAGGTCATGCAGGAAGTTGCAATGCATGCTGGGATAACAGAAACAAATAAGAAGAAGGAACTGGAAGAAAAGAAGTCTGTCCACAAAAAAAGCAAACCAACCAATGTAAAATCGGTGCAGCCAGCTCACAAGAAACCACATTGTACCCGTTCAAACTCCTTTACATTTACAAACTCTGATGCGTCAAATCTGACTAGTCGGTCAAATTCCTTCAGTTTCGGCATTGACCAAGGCAACCAGATGTATAGTAGTAACAAACGGACTTCCAATGAAAGTATAAACAGTGTCACTAGTGATATTTATCCAGTTGGAGCCCATACGCGATTGCCATATCGACGTCCTCCAATTGATCATTCTTTTTCTGTTGATGATACTTTGAATGCTCTATCTAATCAACCAGACAAGCGTTATGACTACCATCATGCAATTCAGAAAGTAGAGGATGATTTAGAAGGTGATATGGACACTACAATTAACTTTAGTCTCAAATATTCAGATGAGAGCATCACACCAGGCAGACAAAGCCCAACAGTGGAGGTATATCAGCATGATCAAATCCAGAAACCAAGTCGTGAAAACTACCTCAATGTATCTGATCATTATGATAGGATGTTGAGAAGCGATGGACCTAACAAATACAGGCTGACATACGATGAAGCTGAAAACCCTGAAGAGCCAGAATTCAATCAATATCCTGAAGAGCAGCCAATACAAGGGAAACCAACTACTGATTTCACTGTTCAGTGTCAAGACTGTAATATGCCGCACAGGCACCGTGAGAGCATGGCAAGTGGTCACCTGTATTCTGAATGTGCTTTATATAATAATCAGCAGTACCGACCTCCTGCACCAGTTAATGAGTCTTATAAACCAGATTTTGAGTCTGATAGGCCTACGAATTATATACAGTATTCGGATAGCAGTGCATCATATGAAGATCCACATGATGACTTTGCCTGTGGTGATCAACCCACAGATTTCACTCAGAAATATGCGACTGACCTTCCAGATTCCTTTGAAACTGAGCATATGCCCCCAGATGATAGTGCAATGCAGCCAATCAATCCTGTTGAAGATGCTGAGTCAAATGGATGTACTGTTAGTGCCAAGAAACATAATGAAAAGCTGACTAATTATTGCTTGGAAGACACTCCAGTGTGTTTCTCAAACTGTTCTTCTCTGAGCTCTCTTCATAGTAATGATATTGATGAAAGTGGGGAGCAGATAGAACATCCATCAGTTATTGATAACACTGCTTCTGTCAGGGTAGAAGATTCAATGCCAAGCAACAAGAAGGTGCAATCTGAGATGATAGAAGATGACGAAGATCAGAATGCTTCAACTGAAGAGGTCTCTGGATCTGGTACATATACTCCAGATACCACAGATCTTCATCATGAAGACAAGGAACTGAAAGAAGATAACTTTATTGAAGAGACACCACTTGTTTTCAGTCGCTGCAGCTCTTTGAGTTCTTTGAGCAGCTTTGAATTGCATTCTCTACATGATGACCGAAGTTCTGTCTATAGTAGTCATCGTGCTAGTGAAGTTGTCAGCCCGAGTGATCTTCCAGATTCTCCAAGTGAGCCAATGATACCAAGTCCCAAGAGAATAATTTCCAAACCTAAACAGACTGCTCAACAACACAATATATTGTCAAAACTACCCACTGCGCTTCCTAAACCAGCTGATGATGCATCTGTTGAATTTTGCACTGAAGGCACTCCATTAGCATTCTCTGGTGCTACAAGCCTCAGTTCTCTGAGCATAGAAGGTGAAGAGAGAATAGTAATGGACCCTGAGCTGAAAACTAACCATAATGATAGTACTACAGCAACTATTGGAACTGATGCTAACACTTCTAGACAGGACATTGCTGATGTGGATCTTTCAGGGGAAACTACCGAGGCTGAACAAAGCATTCTTGAAGACTGTATATTTTCTGCCATGCCTCCTAAAAAGCAAACAAGCCCCAAAAGTAAAGTGAGATCAAAGCTCCAAAAGTCTGCATCGTCTCCACATACTACAAAGCATGTGAGCTTCAGTCAACATGTGTTCAGCCAGGATGCTCCACAGACCTTCTGCACGGAAGACACACCATTAAATTTCTCAACTGCTACATCTCTGAGTGACTTGAGCATTGAAGATATTGAGATCAAACAGGGAGATGATGGGAAAATGACAATTGGAAATCCCACAGAATTGCAATCTGTGGAAACTAGAACTGTTGAACCAGAAACACCGAAACCAGCTGCACCTGAGGTACCAGAAGATCCAAGATCAGAGACAAGTTCTGTTTTGAATGAGAGTGACAGCAACATGCTGGCTGAGTGCATCAATTCTGCCATGCCAAAACCAAGGATAAATAAAGCGAAGTCATCATACCTCAATAAGCGTAAAGCACCAAAAATCAGCCCAAAGCCGTTAGTGAGAACAAGTCATCCACCCCCATCATCTTCTAGAGCTAACTCAGCTAAAGGTTCTACAATGAGAACACCTTCCACTGTGCCTTCATTATTGCCTGTAGCACAGAGTACATGTATACCACCTATTGTCAAGAGCTGGAACACATACACACCTCCAGACACTATGACAACCTATTGCACTGAAGGCACACCACTCAACTTTTCAACTGCTACATCTATGAGTGATCTTTCAGTTGATTCTCCTCAGAATGAGGATGTTGTTAATGGCAACACTGCTCCAAAGCCAGACCAGCCAGTAAGTAGAGAGAATTTGGACTCTGTACCCAAAATGCAAATGAATAGGACAATGCATGTCATGGCAAGTTCTGGATCATCTCCATATGATTCCCCACAGGCATTTGCAGTAGAAGGGACACCCATGTCATTTTCAAGAAATGATTCTCTGAGTTCTTTGAGTTGTGATGAAGATCTTGATTTGGGAGAGCACACAACAACTCTGAAGGGTCTTACATCTGTGATGCAGACTGATGTTGTTGCCAATCCCGAACAGTCAAAGAAAATGCTTCCAAAACCAGTGATGAGAAAAACCGAAACTGGTGTTAAAAGAATGAACCAAAGCAAAGTAGGAAATACTTCTAATAATGTAACTTATAATCCGAGACGAGCGTCAGATGAGGTTCCTGCAAATTTTACTGTTGAAGACACGCCACTTTGTTTTTCAAGAAACTCAAGTCTCAGCTCTCTTAGTGACATCGACAATAATGATGGTTTGACAGAAAACCAATCTGAACAATCTGCTGATGTGGCACTCCCAAGCACAAATGTTAAATCCAAAGATATGCCAAGAAACTTTGCTGTGGAAGATACGCCTGTCTGCTTCTCAAGAAATAGTTCTTTGAGCTCATTGAGTTTAGAATCTCTCAATCTAGACCCTACTCCAAGTGAACAAGCATTGTTGAATGACTGCATCAATGCAGCTATGCCTGCACCCAAACCTAAAAATTCAAGACAAAACAAAGGAAGTAAGCTGCCAGCTTGTCAACCTATGATAATAAAACCGAATGGCAATACTAATGGTCACACACACAGACAAATTCCTAAACCAGGTGAATTCCGTAAGGAACAACATGAATTTGAAAGTGAAAGACTGGCGAAACCTCAAGGAGATTTTGAACTGGAAAATAACCCTGCAGATATTGTGAATCAAAGCCAGGATCAACAACCTCCTATTAAACGACGTCCATTAATCTGCAAGCCTGGGGATTCTGTCAGCAAAATAAGATTGCAAGAACTTGAAGAAAAAGAATCTGAACCAAGAACTTTGAAAGGTGGTAAAAAGGTCTATAAAAGTCCATATGCTCAAAATGGCAGAGCAAGTTCAGTTCCAAGAAGTACACCTAGTACAGTTACCTCAGGTATTCCTCAAAGACAAGGTACTCCTGCCGGGAGGGGGCGTGGAGTATCGCCACATACAAAAAACGCTGCTAGCAAGGCTAATGGGCGAGGAAGAGCAACAAGTGCTCCTGCTACAAGATGCTCAACACCAACTCCAGGTTCAAGAAATTCTACGCCTCCACCTGGAACAAGAAGTGCCGGTGCAACCCCTCGAGGAACTCCACCAAGAACAGCATCACCATCATTGCGAAGTGGTGCACAGATTGCTAGGCCAGCTACAACAACTCAACGCACAGCTACTGCCAGTAGTAGAACTGTTTCCACCTCTGCCATTATTAATCGTTCTGGGCCAAATAGAACACCTGTGGCTTCTGGTCCCAAAGCTGCAGTTGCTAAAAGTGCAATTCCAAGGACGGGCTCACCTGTCAAAAATATTCCACTTGCAGGAGCAGCTACAAAACCTCCACTAGCATCTACAGCTACAAGAAATACAAATTCTGCCTATAAGCGTAACACTACTTCTGTTAACAAAACTACTCCAGCAAGCGGCATCGCAAAACCAGCAGTAAAAACCACCCCAAGAAAAACTTCAACAACATCAAACACAGCACCAACATCCAGAACAGGGTCACCTGCTACAAGAGGAGCTGCAAAATGTGCATCACCTTCTACAAATGGGAACAGATCTGGTGTATCAAGTGCAGCTGCCAGTAGGTCCTCTTCACCAGCTGCTCGCACCACCACCACAAGAAGCATTAGTGGCCCAAGAGTTAGTAATAATAACTCTCGTCAAAATTCCCTGTCCAGGACATCCTCCAAGGACAGTGTTACCAGCAGTGTTGCAAGTAAATCGCCACGAAATTCGATCTCGTCACCAAGTCCAAAAACAATGTCCCCTACACCTGCACGAAGACAGCTTATTAAACCTGTCTCTTCCACGAGTAGGTCAATTCCTACCAGATTGCAAATGAACGGCAAGCAGAGCCCTGCAACATCTAAGCAGAAGCAAACGGAAAATTCTCAAATTGCAAAGACTAATTCATCCAAACAAGGAACTAATAAAGCAAACAATGTTACTACAGCTGACAAAATACCACAACTGCCAAAACTTCAGAAACAGTCTACCTTTACAAAGGAAAGTCCTTCTCAGGCAGGAACAAAGGCAGCTGCTGCAAATGCTGCCACTGGAGTTTCAAATGAATCTGCTTCAAAAAACGAAGAAGCATCAGAGGTAAAACCAACTATGCAGAGAGTGAGCCCGTGGAGGAGAACAAGTCCTGTTGAATCCCGACCAACAGAGCTGAATATTGCTCCTGGTAAGCAACCAAATGTCTGGAAGAAAACCAGAGAGACACCAGAGCTTCCAGAAACACAGAACTTGAGTCCAAACAGTTTAAAACTAAATAGTGGATCAGACACTGGAAGTAGCCAGTCAAGTCCTACAAAAAGGCGTTATGTTTCAAAAAACGAGTATGATATTCCTGTGATCAATTATGGAGGAAATATATCATCCCCAGCCTCTGATGCAAGTCCTGGTGAGATATGGGTAAAACGTGAAAACTGTCCAATCAATTCACCTACAGCATCCAGGCCATCGTCGCTCAGGATGGGATCACAGGAAGGAAGTATAGCCAGTTCTCCAAGTGGCAGCCTTCATAGAATCATTTCTCCAGTTTCACAAAGAACAAGCCTATCTGGAGGAAGCAGCCTACAAAATGTACGGTCAAATGATTCTAGTGCTGATTACCAGTCTTCGGAAACTTCTGAGAAGCAAGAAAAAAATGATCACCGGAAGTTTGTAGCATTGAAGAGAAATGACAGTCTGAAGAATAAGCGAATAAGTACACAAAGCATAAACAGTGAAAATGAGAAAACCCAATCTGAGGGGTCTTCACCCTCACCAACAAACAAACATTCCCCAAGAGGATCTCCAAAAAAGAACAAGAAGAAGTCAAAAAACGACTACGGTTCAGGTTCCTGTGGGGCGGCCCCAAATGATGATCATGAACAGCAAGATGTCAAAGCCTATGATGTCATTAGCGATAACTTTGAAGATGAAGGCATCATGGGAATTGACATGGAGCTTGAACCAGAGCTCATCTCTGATAGTGATTTGCTGGAAGATGAAGAAGAACCAGAAGAGGTTCTAGATGATCAACATCTTTTTGAAGAAGAGGAGGAGGAGGAAGATTACGATGAATCAATATTTCAAGATGATGAACAGTATGATATGACAGAACCTGAACCATCAAAAAACGACGCAGCTCCCCAAGAGCATCCGCCCCAGGAAAAGCGTCAAGTACAACATGAAAATAGGCTGAACTCTTTTATACTTATCAATGATAGTGACAATAGCAATGAACAACAAGTGACTTCACCAACTGAGCAACCTGAACCAACAGCAACCCAATGGAGAAGGAAAAGCAGTAGCAGAGAAAACAGTACAGAATCTGAACCAGCATCACCCAAACCACAGAAAATGCCTGCCACCAGAAAACCACCATTGAGCAATGGCAAACCAGCCTCACAAACTGTAAAGCCTGTAATGGTTTCTCCTTTCAACTACACTGGACCACTGCCATCTAAATCACAACAACAGTCCTCAAGTCAACAACCCAGTCAGCCAATGAGCCCAGAAGGAACCCCAACCAGACGAACCATGATTCCACGACCAGTTAGTGTCAGGGGAGGAGGATGGAGACCAAATAAGAAAGGAGAAAATGAGGATGATGATGATAGTTCTCAAAATGGAAACTCAAGAAGTTTCATGGTCACATCTGTATGACTAGTGTAGTCACTTCCCACATAGTTTGAATAGCTGGATTAAGTTAGCTCTTGTTAAGTTTATGAGGTTTCCATTGGTGCTCGATTTCAAAAATTCCAAGGCTGCTGGTTCGGCCTTAGTCCCTAAGCCAGTCTGTGTGGGCATCATCAAGAGTTACGATCTTCGTGTCTTCAATCATAATGTTCAATTCATTATGTAGAAAACATTTCACACAGGACATTTTGTATCAGTTAAATAATGAAAAATGACATTTTATAGAACATTACTCATACTGATGATGATGTAGTGGATTGGGGCCAAGTTAATGAAATCAATAGTTTTTTATGTAACCTCATTGACAATGTTTCCATTATATATAACCTGACACTCGTCAACCAATTCTGATAAATTGATTTTTCTAGTATCATTTGGAGAGGGTTTGTCAATTCATGCCCCTGCTATGTGTATATAATAAGTGTTATTCAGGTTGGTGTATGCATTTCTAACTGGGTTTTGGATTACTGGTCCTGCAATTTTGTGTTTATTCAATGAAGACAGAAAATGTAATGTTAACACTTGAGTCGTATACAGAGTGTAGGTGTGATTCTGTGTGATATAAAATGAAGATAACACATCTACACAATTAGAAATGGATATCTGAAAGTACAGTACACTGATGGAGGAGGTAGATTGTTAGCTTTTTCACCGCCAGTTCCCACTTTTCATCACAAATTCACAAAATAGTCCCTTTATCGTCTGCATTTTCCTTCAGAAGACTAGGACAAAAATAGCTAAATTTTTTTGATTAAAATCTGAAAGGGACTCAAATTGTGTCTGTTGGCTCCAAAATTAGGATTCATTTCCAGAAATATTGAGAAATATAAGAAAAAAAGGTGCAGAAAAATTTGAGCGAGAAAGTCTGGTGGTGAAAAGGTTAAGTAGGTGGCATGGCATTCCATGGCTTGGCTCCTACAGAGAAGTGCAGAACTACTGAGAATGTGAAACTTGCATTTATTGTTGCATTCAAGAATAAGTATGCAATTTAGGTTGTAGCAAGGAACAATTACTGCATAAATCTGTTTACCTGCAAACAACATTTTGAAAGATTTGATATGCAAAATATCCTGTATAAAAAGAGAACAAAGAAGTGTTTTCAACTGATAAATTCAAGCTGCCAGAAAATTCAACAAATGCCTGAAAGCAAGAGAGCAACAAAGCTTGTTTTTGTTCCTTAAATAGTGTTCCATTCCATCAAATCTACCGTTTGTATGTAACCATGGTAACAGTGGATGAGGAGCCCTATTTGAGAGACAAAAACATGCGTCTCTGTTGCTCTCAATAGGATTTTGACAGCCATTTGCATCCGAGGTCTAGAGTTTCTGAAAATATTTATGAAGGTTGTTTGTTGTTAAAATTGTAATATTTTGTTGAGTAATGTAATCTAGTTGATTGACTGACCTAAGACAATCATGTCGTGATGCATTTACTAATGACATAATGCTCAGAAGATGTATAAATTACCACTATACTTGCAGGCATAGTGTTTTACAATGACTTGGAATATACTATCCCTGTTGTTTCCAATCATTAAGGGGTGTAACTGCTCACAAGATTGTACAAAGTTTTAAGAATATCATTTGCATAAACCATATATAAAAAGATACACCAGGTGTGGTACCACCTGCTTGATGTTGGCCCTAAAAGACGGTTGTATTCCGGTTATTTGGGACCATACCAGGTTGACTGGAGAAGTACTAGTTGTATTTGATCATCTTTGCTAATTTTGTACATTTTCAACCAAAGGGTTGGTTTTTGTTTTTGAGAGTGGGGGGGGGGGGGTTACTTGGATTTGAATACAGTAAAAAAAAGACTTGTTTTTGATTATCAAAAACCACAAATTACAAACAGCTATTTTCGATGTATCATTTTATTGACAGTATAGCGACATCATATGATGTGATGAGTAATCATATTAGATAACGTTCTTGTTAACTGGAGTCTTGTTGAATGAATGTAATTTTTTTCATTGCTTATTTATCATGTGGCCTGATATGTAATTTCCTTCATTTTCTGACATTGTTATTTGTGAGTGAATTCTCCTTTTTTGTTTTCAATGGATAGTAATTTTTGTGATATATCGTCATTGGCAATTGTTGGTTCTTGAAAAAACCACCATCATTGTCCATTTGTATGAATTAAATGTTGTACAGCGTACAATCGCAAGTGTTTGTACAAAATGAAAACAGTCGCTATAAACATTTTCTTTAAAAAAAATGTTTGGAAAAAAATGTTGAATTTTAAGAGAACAATTTTTTTATACGTACATGTAGTGATAATGTAGTAAGATACATGTAGAAAGATAGATTGTAAATTGTACTGTCAGAACTTGAGTCTTGTATAAAATCATGTAGTGTGGCAAACGTAGATATGTAAACATAAAAGTAGATAAGACTGTCAGTTCTGAATATCCGGGTCCCTCTTTGACCCCATGACTTCGCCCATGTTCAAGAGAGCTTTTTTTTTTCGAAGTCTCCCCTATTTTTGTCTTTCCTGTATTTATTTACACTTTTTTTTGTGTACAAACTTTTTTTCTGTATTCTATAATATTTCTGTACTTTAGAAATCTGAAATTTTCTGTTTCACATGTAAAAAAAAAAGATTAAATGGTGATAATCTTTATAATAATAGGCAGGTGGTGTTATGAGAGTTGAGTGCGCCCTCTATCACTTTGCTGGAAATCTCCATTTTTGAGAGAGAACAAAATTATAAAAAGTTGAGATGCCAGAATTTGTAAGGAATATTTATTACTGTCACTGTAAATAAGAATAAATTACTTCATTTGTCATGGAAAAAAATGCTTCTGTATTCATTATTTACACTTGTTTACTCATCATCAGTGATTAGTTGTATATGTTGAATATCTGTGGTCACATGTCAATAAATGTGTGAAAGGTCTAATTCAAGACCTCCATCAATAAAAGCAACTCGTGTTAGATCATTTGTTATAAACTAAATAACTCCACAACCAAAAATTGCATACGCTTGTTATTTTGACATAAGATGTATTCCAACACTAGAGGGCGTGTCTAGCCAGAAACTTCCACCTACAAACGTGCCTTGGTCGATCATCACAACGAGTGAATTATTTGCTATCGAAAGAGGCAAAGCTTGAAATCTCTATGCATTCCAATATTGGGTAGAACAAACATAATATCATTTGTTACAAGAAATACAATGTTTATTGTCAATAATGCACAAATCAAATAAAAAGGACATTTCCTGCTTATACACAACAATCGTGTCATAAATTGCATTTGTTATCATTTGACCAGAATTCAATTTACCAATACAGCTGTTAAGAGTACTGAGATTTGCCATAAACATTGCAGTTATGATGGTACAAACGATTATGTTAAACACGCTGAATAAATCTACAATATTGATATTGAAATATTGGTTGCTGTGATTTGTATGGATGTCTTTTATGGAAATTTATATATTATTTATACAAAATTTGCCTTGAGAGACCCTCTTCATTCAAATTCAACGAAAACGCCTTTATTGCCTGTATTACTGCCATGCACGCATTGACTCGTGATTGATCAAGTTTTTTTCCAAGCGTAATTTGAAAAATTCATAAAACAGTTTATATAAAAAACATTTATCTTTCATGAAATTCGCTATACTAATTTAAATATAACATGAACTTTCCATCATAATAAGCAATTATCATACACTGACATTGTTATGCAAATTGGTTATTTGCATATTGCCTATTTTGCAAATATTTATTAAAGCAGAAGTCCCAAGCAATAACAACACATGCTGAGAATGCAAAGGCTCATGGGTAGATGCTTGTCTGTAAACAATGACACGCTATGGCCACCTGATGCATGCGTAGGTGACGACAACTCTGCTTTAAATTTGTACTGAATAAAAAGTGGCTCAAAACCATTTGTAAAGTTTACTGTGAGTGGTCTTTATGTTGCCCTTACTTCCCCACATTTAAAAATGTTATACAAAATAATGCAGCATATGGTTGCCACACTTAGTAAAACTTAGTATAAAGTATACATTTGAAATACAGTGACAAATGAGGCGATAAAAGCGAAGATTGTAAGGTTGCTTCTTATCCAACATCCTGTGCATGAGTCATTAGGGTCAACTTGAAAATGCTTGTCATGGTCATTACACAGATCGGTACCACAGCAATCATTGCATTTTGAGTCTGTTAAGATACAATTATTCATATTGACTGAGGAAATTTATATAAAAACTATCAGACTCAGGTTAGCATATAGAATGCGCTTTTGTGGGTAAACAATGTAGACGTGGATCTTTATGAATGACCCATGGAGATAAACCAGGATATTTATTTTGTGAACCATAGAAGACGGGGATTTTTATGGACCATAGAGGTAGACAGGGATTTAAATATGAATGGACCATGGAGACAGACATGGAAATCTGTAAGGGCAAACAAGGTTCTCTATGAACTATGGAAATGGACAATGATCTATTTTTTCAAACTAGTGGGATAGACAGGAATCTATAAACCTTAGAAATAGTCAAGTATCTATATGAACAAACCATTAAGATGGTGGGAATCTCTGTGAACCATGGAGATAGATAAGAATCTCTACGGACAAACCATTGGGGTAGACAGGAATCTCTATGCACCATGAAGATAGATAAGAATATATATTGGCAAACCATTGAGGTAGACAGGAATCTCTATGGACAATGGAGATAGATAAGAATATATATTGGTAAACAATTGAGGTAGACAGAGATCTCTATGAACAATGGAGATAGACAAGGATCGATATTGGCAAACCATTGAGGTAGACAGGAATCTCTATGAACCATGGAGATAGACATGGGTCGATATTGGCACACCATTGAGGTAGACAAGAATCTCTATGAACAATGGAGATAGACATGGGTCGATATGGACAAACCATTGAGGTAGACAGGAATCTCTTGTGACAA